CGCTTTGATCCGGCCCGAATTGATGACGTGGCTCCCGATCCTGGCCTGGATGACGATCAAGATCAGCTGCGGAGGGATCTGCTCCTGGCGGCAGCCCATGGCAATCGGGAGCGAACGGTGAGAACTGTTTTGAAGGGGCCCTGGGACACACACACACACACACACACGAATAAAAAGACACATAGAACCGGATTCTCCATATTTTCAAATATTTTCTGGGTTCTTGTCTTCCCCCCCACTTCCCATATTTTCCTATACCCTCCTAGGAATCGTCGAGTCATTGTGTCTGTGCTTTTCCCGCCCTGGGTTTTAGCCACAGCCCCGCCGACCACGGAGCGCCTCGCCGGAAAGCGTCGAAGGAAGAATGCGCGCGCGCGGAGAGACTGGCCAGGCACGTGCGCCGCTGGCACGCTGCACGCGAGGGTGGGGAGAGCTGCTCAGATGCTGGCGTGGAGGTTCTTCTCGCACCCAACGACGGTGTTGTCGACGGCTACGCCAAGACGCGGCAGGGGAGCAGAATCCCAGCCCCGCCAGGAGTGCAGAGGTGCTTGAAGCAAACCAGCCGAAATTGAAGCAAACGTGAAAGCGTGAAGGGCCTGAAAACTGGAAGGGGCTGGAAGGAAGCAGCCCGAAACGGATAGGATATGCTGATCAGGGTTAAGGACATCTGTGGAGAGACAAGTTGAGGCTCAAATCTGCGGAAGGGCCAACCCATCAACTTGCTCCAACTCATCCGTGGATAGGTGCCAACTGGCAACTCTTCCGAAATAATCGGTTTTAGCTGGACCCGGGAAGCGCGAGAGTTCAGGACGCCCTCGCCTTGAAGGCCTCTGGTGGCCCTCTGAACTTTAAATTTTCAAGGCTGTTCCACGATGGCCCAGGAGGGCCCCAAGGCGTGTCCTGAGGGGTCGCATTGAACCCGAAAAAAATCCCAAGGGTACACAGGGGAGCTCCAAGACTGTCCCGGTATCGAAGTCTTCGGGCTTCTCACGGGGGAGAGGAACGAGAAACAGGGGCTCCTTACCGGAGAGGCGAAAGGGGGCCCCTGTCCTGGCCGTTGAACCTCAAGATTGCGACAAGAATATCCCAAATATTCCAAACGGGGCCCGGCGATGATCCGATATGTGCCACCGGAAGGACCCTACGAGAGCCCCAAGATGGCTCTCCGAGGCCTCCAACATGCTTTCAGACGGCCCCAAGTTATGCCAGTTTGCGGGGACTGATAACAGGACTGGGTTGACTCGTTTCCGCCCTCTTCGTTTCGCTAGTGCTCGTTCACCATCATTTTCGCGACAACTCGCGTAGGTCATCTCTCGATGATGGGCTGGTGGGGATGCGCGAAGCGACAAGATCATTATTTGTGCTGGCTTGCCGCATCATCATCCAACTCAATAGGGTACTTAACACGATCGCACACATACACGCATGGGCATGTCCCCCCCGACGTGCTTTCATACCCATGCTCGTAATTCTCGTAGTCCAGAACTGCCCATGTGCTGCTCCAAATTGCTTCACATGTTATGTCTGAGTTGTTCCATGGTACGTCTGATCATTCAATACACTACGACTCATGCTCAGCTCAATGCCAAGTTCGCCTGCTGGCGTGCACTACTTTTTTTTTCGGGATCCTTATCATCCCCTTGCTCTGGTCATCGTTCTCCTCCTCCTTCTCATTCTCCTCCGTTCCTACAGTGACTGGCGGCGGGCAATAACGGATGGGGCGACGGAGGCGGCCCTCTAAGACGTGATCGGTCGCTTCCCCGGCGCATTGGACGGCGGACAGGGCTGCTTAGAAGCCCTGTCCCCCTCCGCGCGCCGCAGAGGACCAGACCCTCCTGCTCGTTCGTGATGCGGTTTGCCCCACCGCGCTCCCTCGACCTTGTCCTTCTGGCCCTCCACGTCCCCGTCGTCGTACTCCTCCTCTGCGTCCTCGTCCTCCCCGTTCGCCTCCTGCTTACCCTCCCTTCCTCTTCTTCTCCTCCTCCTCCTCCATACACGGCACTACGCTCCTCCTCCTCCTCTTCCGCCTCCTCCTCCTCCTCCTCCTGCTCCTCCTCCTCCTCCTCTCCTCCTCCCCCCATCATCCTATTCCCCTCCCCCTTCCTCCTCACACTCCCCTTCCTCCTCCCCCTCCTCCTCCTCCTCCTCCTCCTCCTCCTCTTCCTCCTCCTACTCCTTCCTCCTCCTCCTCCTCCTCCTCCTCCTCCTCCTCCTCCTCCTCCTCTTGCCTCCAAAATGCGAATGGTTTGCCATATCAGCCCTAGGAATCCGCAAACACTTACGATTAGCACTTGCACTTACGCCCCAACGGCCAGGTAACCAAGGCGACATCGTCACATCCTCTATCCCTCTAGCCACTTGCTCATTGTTGTCCACCCCTGTCTTGTTTCTCGTCCTCTTGTGCATCTCTCTTTCGATCCCGCTTCAAAGCTCCCGACTGGGGTGCGAAACGCGGCCGAGTGAACAGACTAAGCACATGTCTTCACGAATGGCCTCAGCCTTCCAGGTCAGGTAAACCTAAAATTAATTGGCCAAATGCGGCACTTGCATACCACCACATCACTTCCGTCCCGTATCTCGCTCATCCTGTGCCTTTTGCTTCTCGCTCTTGCCTCGCGCGGCCTATACGGCCAAGAGGTCCGAGAGGCACATCACATGCCTCCTCCTTCGACCTACGCGTTCCCAGCAAGCAACGCCACGGACGTGTGCGCAACGTGGCGCACAAAGTGGTGCATGCCGCCACCCCACATCGCCGTCCCGCGTCTCCCCCATCCTGCGCCTCTTGCTTGACGCTTTCGCTTCACGCTCACCCGCAGAGTGCGCCTCGGCGGACTGGGAGCGAGCTGCACAACCAAGAGACCAAACGAAACACATCACATGCCTCCTCAATCGACCTACACCTTCCCAGCCGGGAACGACACGGACGCGCGCGCAGTGTAGCGCACAAGGTGGCGCATATCGCCTCTTCACATCCATGTCAAATGAACTATTTCTCGCCCAACCGAAGCCTCGTGCCTCCCGCTCTCCAGTCACGCTCACAGAGTGCGCATCGGCGGGCTGGGTGTGGGCTAGACGCGTGCGCAGTGTGGCGCACAAGGTGGTGCATACCGCCACCTCGCATCACGTTCGATTTCTCGCCTGCGTGCTTCCCGGTCGTTTCGCAGAAAACGGTGCAGACCGCAACCCGCACCCCTGCCCCGTTTCTAGCTCATCCCGTGCCACTCGCTTCTCGCGCTCGCTTCAAATTCGCCGGCAAAGCGCGCCTTGGCGGACCGGGAGTGAGCTACCCGGCCACGAGGCCAGATGAGGCAAATCATTCGCATCTTCGCAGGACCTGCGCCATCCCCAGCTGGGAACGCCGCGGACGTGCGCGCACTGTGGCGCACTACGTGGTGCATGCCACCTCCTCGCATCCCTGTCCCGTCTCTCGCCCATTCTGCGCGTTTTGCTGATCATTATCGCTTCATTCGCATCCGTAAATGCGCCTCGAACGCCGCTTGGGTCGACCGCAGCCGCGAACGCGCCGCCATCGTCGGGTCCAAAGCCGCATCTCTGCCGCCAGTCGGCCCCCGCCGGCACCCGCGCCAGCGCCTCCGCCGATGCCGTGCTGGTATGAGGGGACAGCCTGCGGAACTGATTGGGCTGCCGGCCATCGACGCTCATCCGAAGAAGGCCGCCCTTCTTCTCCACGAAGAGGAGACCCACCGTCGCATTCTTGCGTCGCGTGGCCATTGCGACCCCCATGTCGGCGAGGCGTCTCAGCAGCTTCAGGAGTCGAGGGTGGTTGGCCCGGACGTGCGGGTTCAAGAGCGGGTCCTGGTGTGACTGGATGCCGGGCTCGTGCGGAGTGCCGCTCAAGCTACTTCTCAGGCTCTGTCGAACCTGTTGTACGTGGTCGGGGACAAATAGCCTCTTGGGGCCCCGCCGTGCCCTGCAAAAGGGAAACCTTGTCGTGCTTGAAGGGCCGGACAGTCAACCGACCTTCCTCAGAGTAGGCGTTGCTAGACTTGCGAAGCTCCTGAAGGGCCTCTCGAAGCTGAACGGCGCTGGGCGGCGGGCCGTTCAGTGCCGCGGACAGACCCTTTCGGCCGAGCGCGGACTCCTGGGTCAACGTCGAAGTCTGGCGCGCCCTTCTGGGCTGGAGGCAACGCCTCTGTGGCCTTCCGCGCCCAGTCCCGCCGAGCACGTCGCCGAGCAGCCCGACGGCCAGCTGGGCGCTCTCCTCTGGTCTCCTCGACAAAATCGGAAGGGTGCGCTGGGGGGAAGGGGTCGCCCGCCATGATGACGAAGAGCCCTTCGAGGCAACATCGGCGTCAAATCTGCGGCTGTCAGTGTCGGGGTCGCCGACCGCCTGGAGTTTCGCCTCCAAGGGGTCGCGCGGGCGACGCGGAGGGGTTCGCTTGGGGCTACACTTTGTCGTTCTTGCTGCCTTCGCCAGCGCTCCGCTTGGCCTCGGCGTCTCTCTCCTCAGTGTGCTGTCTGGTCTTTTAAATGCAGCCTTCGTTTCCTGCTCGGCCGCCACCAGTTTGTCGAACTTGCCGGTGACGACCCCGCCCGTCTCGTCGAGGGTTTCGGGTTGCGGGGGGTGGCGCTGTACATCTGGACGATGCGCCTCGCGATGATCTCCGCCCCCGCGAGGTTGGCAACGCCCACCTGGTCGTGCTCGATGAAACGGCGGAGGGCTTCGGGCAGGAGCCGAATCTCGTGCGCCGCGGCGCTGGTCGGGGAGAGGCCGCTGCGCGCGACGCAATGATTCGCGTACCCCGTCTCGCCTGGGCCCGACGCCCTCGCTCTGGCGAGGAACTCGGGCAGCGCCTTGGGGCCCCTGAAAACCCAGTCCTTCGCGTGCCTCGGGCGGTGGGCCCGCCGCGGGCCGCCCTGCCCCGCCGAAGCGGACGGGGCGCGCCCGGGGATCCCGCCCTGGCCCGGATTGCTTCTCGCCGGGCCACTGCTGATGCCTGTCCTCCGGGATGTTCTCGTAGACGGTGTGCTCGTCCTCGTCGTCCCCAACTTCCATCGCGACCTACTCGACGGCCCCGCGTCTCATGAAGCGGTCCTCCGAGCTGGTGATGGCTGGGTCGATCACCTCGCCGAACTGCGAGATGGCCAGGTCCGCGACCACCCATCGCGGCGGTGCCGCCGCAGCGACCCGGGGAACCTCCCGCGCCAAGGCAGCCGCCTGCCCTCGGATCGCCTCCAGCTCGCCGCCATGGAAGGGGTCGAAGGCGCAGAGATGCCCCGCCAGGCGGGCTGCATACGGGCCGTGGTCAGGTCACCGAGCTGCACGCTGTGACCCGGCGTCGCCCAAATCCACCAACGCCCGCCCGCCGGGACGACGAGCGCCCCCGCGTGGAAAAAAAAACACAAACAACGAGGCCGTCGAAGAAATCGCTCGCCACCTGGGCCTCTGCGATGTCCAGGCTGCGCGCCATCAGCGGCGCCTAGCACGGAGGGCGGCCGGGGGTGACCGCCGCGGGCGCCGGGGCCGTGCCGCCTGGCGTGATCGCCAGCGCCGGCTCGTCGCGGACCGCCGCGGGCGCCTCCGCCGGCGCCCCCGCCGCCCGGGGCCCGCGGAGCCTTCGGGCGAGCGCGCCCGCGGCCACGGCCGAGGCCCCCATGAGCTGGGCCCCGCTCGGAGCAGCGCAGCTCCGGGCAGCCCGGGCAGGGGAGCTGCTCGTGTGCATTTTTCTTTCGGCGAGCACCATCGAGGAGCATCCTTGATCATTTGGCGAAAAAGCCACGCACGAGACCGAAAAAAGCACACAGGGAATGGACGTCCGAGCGTCGCCCCCTCGTCCGTCCTCCCCGTCGAGCTGCGCGGTGTCCACGTGGGCTGCCGCGCCGTCGACGGAGCACGCGAGCAGGGCCAGGGCCGCACCTGTCCATCTGGCGCCCCAGCAGGCCCGCGATCTTCGAGTTCACGGAGCGGTCCGCCATGCAGCGGGAGGAGGTGCGGCGCGAGCGGGAGCGCGGCTTGGAGGCCCCTGAGCGCCCAGTCCATTCCCCTCTGAGAGAGATCCTTGAGCCGCAGGGGCCATGGAAGAGACACGTTAAACATGCCAAGGGGGTAATCCTGTACAAACAGGTCGTTTTGTACAGAATCTCCCCCGCCAATCCCGGGCGTCCTGTAGGGGCTATGTCAGATCTACCATTCTTCGGACTCGTTGAACAGATGCAGACCAAACACGTTTATCCACCGAATAGGTTTCGCCCTGGTTGCGCCCATTTTGAAAACCCTGGCGGGTCAGGAGCGATGCAAGCGCCTCGCGCTGGCCGCGCCCAGATGTACCCAGAAACACCAGAGACGAAGGCCGAGGAGGGACCCCCGAGGAGCGACGCGTCCCGCTGCAGGGTGACGCGGCCGTTGCTCCAGCGGCTCGGCTGGCCCCCCCCCTCTTCGTCTCCTCCACCTCCTCCTTTTCTGACGTAAGGCAAAAAATGAACGAGGCTGCTGATGCGTTCTTCTTCTCCTTCTCCTCCTCCTCCTCCTCCTCCTCCTCCTCCTCCTCCTCCAGGCGGCTCAGCAGCGTGGCCATCTCGGAGGGGCCCGCGTAGCTGTAGTCCCCAGCGCAAGCATATGCGGGCTTTGATGCGGGAGGGTGCGACGGAAGCGCGCTGCCGCCGACAGGACGGCAGGACGAGGCTGGGCAACGCTCTGCTCTGCGCCGACAGCGCCATCCGCAGGCTCACGGACAAGCTCCAGCAGCTGCGGGAGAAAGCGCGGACCCGTGTCCGGCTGAGCGAGGCGAAGGCAGCCGCGGCAAGGGCGCAGCCCACAGCGAGGAACGACGGGTAGTTACAGTTCGTCGAGCCGATCGTACGCGCGGAGGCAGACGGAGAATCGTGGTGGGGTTTGCAGTGGATGCAGGCCTACGCGGGAGGAGGACTGTGGTGCGCGCGGGAAGAGCGGGCACTGGCAGCTCCAAGGGAGTGGGCGCGGGAGCGACAGGCAATGACAGCCTCAAGCAAACGGGAAGGGCACGCGCGAGGAGGACGGGCAGTGGCAGCTGCAGGATGGGATGGGCACCGCCTGCGAGACGGTCGGGCGCTGGCAGCTCCATGTGGGCGGACCCCGCGCGCGCGAGAAGGGCGAGCTGCGACAGCCCACGGGGAGGGCGACCAGTCCGTGCGCGAAGGGCCGCCAGTGGCAGCCTCGAGGAGGGGCGGAGCGTGCGTGCGAGCAGGGCGGGCAGTGGCAGCTTCGAGAGGACGCGGGCGGTGTGCGTGCGGGGAGGACGGGCAGCGGCGGCTTCCAGAGAATGGGCCCCGCGCGTGCCGAAGGGGGCGGGCGGGGCCGGCCCCCCCCCCCGCAGGAGCGACCAGCTCGTGCGAGAAGGGAGGGCTGGCGGCAGCCTCAAGGGGCGGGCTGCGCGGACGCGAAGGGCGGGCAGCGGCAGCTGAAAGGAGGAACGCGTGCGAAGGAAGGGCGGGCAGTGGCAGCTTCAAGGAGGCAGCGCGCGCGAGAAAAAAACGGGCAGTGGCAGCCTCCAGGAGGAGCGGACTGCGCGCGCGAGAAGGGCAGGCAGTTGCAGCTTCGAGGGGATGGCAGCCGTGCGTGCGAGAAGGACAGGCAGTAACAGCATCGAGAGGGAGTGGGGAGTGCGTGTGACAAGGACGGGCAGTGGCAGCCTCGAGAAGAAGCTGACTGTGCGTGCGAGAAGGGCGGACAGTGGCAGCTTCAAGAAGGAGCGGACTGTACGCGCGAGAAGGGCGGGCACTGACAGCTCTGAGAAGTGGGGCGGCAGAGGCAGCGGGGGGCGAAGCACGAGCCAAACGACACCAGCTTCAGTGCGGGGCGAACGGTGGACGACCCATGCGAGAAGGCTGGGACGCCAGAGGCGAAGCTAGAGCCCAACTCAACTGCACGAGCTACAGTGCCTGCAGATTGGGCGCCACCAGCAGAGCAATGTGGAGGGCCCGTGCTGTGGCCGGCAGGCGGCGAAGCGATCGAGCCCGACGCCGTCAGCCACCGTGCAGGCAGATGGGAAGCGGAAAACGCCCACGGAACGTGGGGCCCCCCCCCCCGGAGGCGGACTCTAGGAGTGTGGAGAAGCGCCGCCAGCGATACCTCCACTCCCGTGGCAAGCTCGGCACGTTCCCCAGCCTTGGCTCAAGTATGGCCAGCGCGCGTGGCCCCTCGGGGCAGACTTCGACTGGATGGCCCGGAGAGCCACCGGGGCCGAGGGCGAGGCGCCAGGGCGTCAGGCTGGGGCGCGCGTGGGAAGAGAAGGCACAGCTGCGAGGAGCACCTGCCGAGGGACCCGCTGCCTGGCCAGGGAGGAGACTGCAGCTCCCCGCCCGACAAACTCGGACGCCGCCCCCGTACCCTGTGCGGGGGCCCCTTGGGAATGGAGGCATACCCGGGGGAGGGGCGCAGGCGTCGGTGCAGGATGTTCATCATGTCGTCCACGAGATACCCACAAAACACACCCCCTCCTCCTCCTCCTCCTCCTCCTCCTCCTCCTCCTCCTCCTCCTCCTCCTCCTCCTCCTCCTCCCCGTCCTCCTCCTTGCGATGCTGGGGCTCATGCGCACACCGCTGGTGGAACCGATGTCCCGAGACACCGGGAGGCGGTGGGCGTGGGCGCGTGTTGGGCCTCGGGGCCCAGCCGCAAGTCCACGTCCGCCGCCCTCCCGAGGTCTGGGCAGATCGGCTCCTCCCGGGCGGCGCCCACGCGGGAGTCCCTGCGGTTCTCCCGCCAGGGCACCTCCGCGGTTCTCTCTCGGCTTTCTCTCACGCTCCCTCCTCGCGCTGGGACCCTGGGCGCGGAGGGAGCTCCACGAGGATCTCGACCATCTTCTTGGCTAGTGCCAGCGCGCGCGAGCGGTGGCAGATTGTGGAGAGCGGGTGCGCCTGGCGCCGCCGCAGGCAACATTTGTGGGAGACGCACGGGGGCACAAAGGCCTGCTGGACGATCCCGAAACGCGGACTGTGAACTTCCTGGGACATCAAACGGGCACGACGATTTGGAGGGAGAGGATAAGGGCGAAAGAGGTGCTCGCGGGGGAGACTGAATACCAAGAGGATGGCGACGACGTGTATGAAAGGGAAGCGGAGTTGGGATGCAACGGGGGGAAGAGCAGACGGGAAGCCAGGGGATGAAAAGAGAAGGTTCACAAGAAGAGTATCGCGAGGAACGCCAGGAAGATGGGAGGGGAAAGGGAAAGAGGCGACTCGTCATCCGGTGATCCGCTTGCTGACCACGGGCCTCTATTGTTCGGCTTCTCTAATTTACCGAGCCGCATCGCACTTATGTCGTGGACTGTCGGTAGAAAATCGCGTTCAAGATAGAACGTTGTCGCAGATTTTTTTTTTTTTTTTTTTTTTTTTTTTTTTTTTTTTTTTTTTTTAAAAAAAAAAAAAAAAAAAGGCCCCTCCCCCCCATTGTTCAAGGTTTAGTGCCTGCCACACACGTTGACAAGCACGGTGCCGCCTCGATTGTATTCGAAGCCTTGCCTCAAACTGCTGCTGCGGAGTGCCAGGAAAACCATATCCAACTGAAGAGTGCATACTGAGAAAGGCATCACAAAGCATAGAGCTTAAAAGACGCTGGTCAGGACCCATCCCACGAAAAAGGAGGTAGAGGTGGAGCCAGGGCGAACCCTCAGGAGACCCAGAAGAACAGGGAGCCCAAGAGCCCATCCAATGTGAAAACAACTGCTGGAGCCTGGGGCACACGAGGTAGTGGTGCATGTCATCTAAGTCGGTCGGGGAAGTCGGAGAACTAGGGCACCCAAGAAGACAGCCACGAGGGGGAGCATGAAATCGAGCACTAGTGCAAACACATCTGGAGAGCATACGCAGGTTGGCCAATGGGATGTAGGGACTGGACTGACGGGCCAGGGCTTTGATGACTTTGCAAACCCAGACGATGTCCGACAGGGAGACCTCAGGGATCCAAGCACGGGCACGCCGAAGGAGAGCTTCATGAGGGGTGACGGTGGGGCAGTGAAAGCGCCTCAACGCACGCGTATACTGCTTCTGTACATCCTTACGCTCATACAAGATCTGGAAGCCGTGAGATGCAACTTCGTCCTGGAAGGTGAACAAGTGAGTGAGGAAACTATTCACGTACCAGCCGCGCCGCTGCCGATATGGGCACCAGTCATCATCTTCAAAAATCCGAGCAACTTGGTCCCGGATCCGAGGCAGCTCATCACAACGTGCAATGTATCTCGCCCGAGTAGCATCCGCCACGAGCGAGAGCCGAGGGAACTCAATAGGGAACCCATAAACACACAGGTGGGTACACATGTCGTAAGATAATGCATTGTTAGGGCCAGCAGAGAGGAGACGGACACAGGATTGATAAGCTTTGTCGAGATCACGAGTAGGACGGTGCAGCTGCAAAAGAAAAGACAATAGCGAGACACAAAACGCTTTGAATAGAACAATGGATTGAGCCAAACCAAGCCCCAGATCACGAATCTCACGCGTCCGCTTTTTGAGTTTAATAATGGACGCCGTGAACGCCACGCCCTCCGCCCCAAAACCAATCCAGACCCCAAGGTACTTCAGATACTTAGTAATCTCAACTCGCTGATAGAGGGGTCCCAGGTCAACCAGGAAATCACGAAGAGGGTCCCTGAGACGCTCGTAAGCCAGTAGCATCTGGCACTTCGGGAAATTGAGAGCGAGACCTATCGCGCCGTGAAGCAACTGCAAATACTTGAACAACGGCTCGATGCCATCGAAGATGCAGCGGAGGCCGAAACAAAAATCGTCGGCATACGCGAGAGTCAAAGTCAGCTGAGACGGAAGCTTAGCCCTCACCCATGCTAGTACAGGTTCAACGGCCAGGATAAATAGTAGCATCGAGCTCGGGTCGCCCTGCCTAACTCCTCTCCCAATCGAGAAGGAACCAAACATCCTCCCAAAGATATAAATAATCGCAGAATTGTCTTGGTAAAGAGCCTGGAAGAACATAATGACAGCAGACGGAACACCCATGGAGGCCAGTACGCGGAGGACCCAGGAGACCTTTATCGAGGGGAAGGCGGATTCGAAGTCCGTCAGGACGAGCCCACTCGTATATCTATCACGAAGGTGGCACTCAAGAAGGAAACTCTCAGCCTCCATCACATTCGCGAGCATGTCGCGGCCACGGAAACATTTCTGTGGAGGCTGGAGAAGACAGTGCCGCGCAACCTTGCGCGTGAGAATCATAGCCATCGAGGCCGAGAAAATCTTGGCATCCGTATTAGTCATGCTAAGTGGACGAGTATTAGCTGGTTCACGATAAACTCCCTCCCCCACCTCCGCCTCCGTAATCTTTTTGGGTAAGAAAACCATGGGACTCCGTTTCATATCATCGGGAAGACCAGCCCGAGGGTTACGGATGAAAGCTTGATAGCATTCGTAGAGAAGTTCACCAGCAGCGCGGGCCCTCCAGGCCGAGTACGGGATCCCATCCTCCCCAGGCATGCTGTCTTTCCTCCCCAGAATCATCATTTGCCACTCAAACTCACTCATCATCCACCCTTGTCCAATCAAGTCCTCTTCCTCTAACTCCTCAGGGACCACTGGCAACTTCGGCACAAAGTTAAGCAGCTCGGGCCAGAGGGACTCGTCGTCCTCAGTAGCAGCAAAGATAGTACTCCAGTGATCCTGTAGGGCCTGGGCAGCCTCTTCTTCTGTCTTGCTAATGTCCCCTGAAGCCGACAAGGTCCCTTGGAGCCACGTACGCCTATTCATCTTCCGCCAGAGTTCCTTCCGAGCCGCCAACTTCCGCCGAGCATTCTCATCCCCCTCAGAGGGCACGGGGCCGACGTCCTCACCCGAGGCCTGATTGAGAAGTTCCTCTTCGTCAGACAGAAGAGCATTATGGAGACTCTGAACATGTTGGCAGAGGGCCTCGCATCTGGCATCCTGAAGGCCAGCGGGAAAGTGGGCAGCGAGCGCCGGGTACGCGGCGACCGCCGCCGCAAGCTTGAAAGAGTCTCCCGCACGCCATGCACGAAGGGCTTGCAGGGCACGATAGTGTTTAGCTTCGGTAGTGTCAGCGGGTTTCAAGTTGACCAAACGTTTAACCTCTTCAGCAACTTCAAACACCAAAGATTTCGTTTCAGCAAGACGAGCCCACGGGTCACCACAGGGAAGGGCATCAATAGCGCCGTTCAAAAGGTCCGCGAATAAAGGGTGCCGAACAACCCAAGGAGCCAGACGTTTGGGAGCATCCTGAGGTCTGAAGGTGCTGATCGTGACGACTATCGGGATGTGGTCCGAGACCATATCCACCTTCAGGGCCCCCCGCGCCTCGCAAACAATCGTGAGGTCCGTGATCAAAGCCGAGGGAAGCGTACTGTACATACGGTCTAGCCGAGAAGAGTGAGTTGTGACGCCGTCCCTGACCTCCCTCCTCGTGTCCTCACATTGGTAAAACTCAATCCAAGAGCTACAAAGCCGATGAAAAAGAGAAGTATGATTATCATCTCCAGGATACCACCCACTACCATCCGCCCGAAGCCTCCCATCAGAGGAGAGCGCAAAGTTCCAGTCACCTACCAAGATAGTGAAACAATCGGCGGGGCTGGGAAGTTCACGAAGGATGGATCGTAGAGCGTTAGCATAAACACACGTGAGCTCATTCGTGTTCGGCATGTGTGCATTGATGATACATAAGTTCCCGAGAGGCCCAGAGAGATAAGACTTGAGAATACGACCATCGATGACGCTGGAGTGAGAAATAGTAGAGAAGAGCTTCGCAAACACAGGCTGGATGCACGTGATAACACCACCAGTAGCAGCTGAGTCAGGGAACAGAGAGTGACCAATCTCAAAGTGCCGAAGTTCTCGCCGAAGCTCGTTTATATCCGCAATCTGTCCGTGGGTTTCCTGGGTACAAAAGACCGAGAGTTGGTTCGCGAGCTTCAGAAACTTCGCAAAGCGCGGGGCAGCCTTCATACTTTTGGTGCGAACAGCGGCAAAGAGGGCAGCGGTATTCCAAGATCCGATCTTCATCTCTGAGGGGGGGAAGAAGGGGCGGGTCCTGACCAAAGAGACAGGGATTCCCTGATTTGTTCGAGAAGCGCAGCCAGAGACGTGCTGCCCAGAACATTCAAGGGGGACGGACGCAGAGGCCTGTTCAGCAGAGGCGGCACAGGCAGGGAGGGCACCGACGGGGAGGAGAGGCACATCTTCAGACCAACGGCCACAAAAACTAGAGGTAATTAATCGCCTAGGAGGAGCGACGATCAGGCTCGCGGCAGTGGGACACTCTTCTGGCGGTGTCACATGTGCCGCGCCCGTAGCCTGGGACCCGTCACCTTCCTCTCTAAAAGGGCTGCGATGCATTCAAATGATTCACCCCCTCCAGCAGACGCTGGACGTGAGGCTCAATAACGGCATGAAACTCAGCAAACTGATCAGGGAAAAAATTGATAGCGACCTGGGGCGGCTCAGACTCACTGTTCACAAGGTCAATGTGGCAGATCTGAACTGGGTCTTCTGCCGAACGAAGGATATACACATCTCCACCAAGACCATTGGACCCCATCTCCTTGCCCACCTGGCGTACTATAGGAGCGAGCACACCACGTACCTTACCCAAGGCGAGGAAGAGAAGCCGCGTGCCTGGTGCCATGTCCCTCTTGGCGCGGAGGGTGATCATCTGCTGGGGGTAGATCGGGTCGGGGAATTGGACTGGCGCACCAGCCTGGAGCATGTTCAGGAAGTCGGTAGCCTTGGACGAGTCCGTGAAGTCCAAGGTGATCTTCTTGGTCATGTCGTATGTGCGTACCATCGGGCGTGGGCTGGACTGCGGGACGCCGGAGGCCAGGATCAGATCAGCGGCACGCCTCAGCGAGGCCTGCATCATCTTCCGAGGGAAGCCAACAACTATCACACGGTGGGCA